ATATATATATATATATATATATATATATATATATATATATATATATATATTTTAGCCAAGTTTTTAATATATTAATAGAATCTGCACCGTTCCAAATAGAAACATCAAAAAAAAAAAACTTTTCACCTTATAAAATCGAAAATGAAAACAAATCCAGAAAAACTGGAATCAAAATTCAAATTAATAAAAAACCAAATCTCGAAGCATTTAAAAATTTTTTGAAAATATATATTTGAAAGTGGAATTTTTATGGGCTTTTAATGATTTCAATATTTCGATTAATTTAGATGGCCATCAAAATAAGCTCTTAAACAAGCATTTAAACAAAATCAATGCTGCTGATCTGAAAGCTGAAGCATCGAGTTATTGCATACTTAGGACCGTTAGGGCATCAAGGTATCGGCCAGACTTTCATCTGTTCAATATTATTTTCCATATTGATACATTTTTTTTGTTTTTTGTTTTTTTTTTTTTCTGTTTACTTCATCTGTGGCGCATTTTATGTGCGTCGTGCGGCAGTGGTATACAAATTTCTTACACTGTAATATGATTGATTGCCCCGTTGACCTGGAAACGTAGCACAGAGCGGCCGAACTAATAGTTACACTTAACAATGAGCCACAGAAGATTGAGGAGCGCAGGCAACAGAGCCGCTGAGCAGCTAAATAAAATGGGTCAAGCGGGGCGGCAGACCAGCCCAAAAAAAAAAAAGAGAAAAAAAAAAAAAACAGGCGGAGAGAGAAAAAAGCTGTTTGAGATCGGCGGCTGAGGCTGAGTGGGCGCTGCATGCCACAGATGGACCTGCAAGGGGCAAGTGTTTTCCACCAGGTAGCAGCTTGGCCATGTTGCAGGGCAGTGGCCATGACGTGGCGCTATTTGGCATTTCGGCAGTCGCACAGTTGACGAAAGCGGCAAGTTAATGAGCTGCCTCCTTTATTATTATTCTTGTTATTATTACTAGACTTTTTTTTTTTATTTTTTCAATTTCACTTTTCTACATAACTACATGCAGGCAGCAGTTGGACAAGACAGCTTGTCATGGCTAGCTGGCTGGCAAAACAAAAGAGCTGGCCAACAAAGTCGAGAAGCCAATGGGGCGCATAGGTAATTAAAAAACCGTTAATATTGGAAACGCTCGTCGTTAGGTGTCAAATCAAACATAAAAGATATTATTAAGAATTCATAAAAAAGTGCTCAGAAATTGAAAAAACGCATCGCATCGCATCGCACACTGCGTGGAAATGTGAAAATGTAAAATGTGAAATGTGAGAAAAACGCAGCCAGCCACTAGCTGTGGCAGCGGTGGCCAGCTAAATGCGCTGTAAAATGCAAATGAGCGGGTAGAGAGTAGACATACCAGATGACCCTAGATGGCCACAGATATGACAACTAATAAGCAGGGTAATGGCAATGCCGAGCTGCAACACAATGAGCCCCCTTAAATGTAGCGTTAAGTGTGTTCCAAAGGCCAGCGAACGGCATTAAGCCATAAAAAGCCGATATGGCCAAAACCGAAAAGAAACCACATCCAAATGGAAGTTGGGCTCAAATGCATATTGATTGACGTTGAAATGTTTTAAATGGAGCAAAACTCTAAGAGCCAGGTGCAAGTGGATTTCGTTATTGTTGTTGCCGTTGATGTTGTAGCTAATAAGTGGAAGTGAAATGAATTAGTGAACGCTTATGGGGGTCGCAGCGACGCGGCGCAGCGAGGCAGCGTCGCAGCGGCACTCAAAGAACGGTTCAATGGAGCCACAGCCGTTGAGTTTTTGGAGACCCCCGGTGCCAGTTCCACCAGTTCCAGATCAATGGGCCATTCAAGCAGCTCGAGCCAACCGAAATCGTAAATTTGAAATCATTGACTAAAAGCTTTTGATAAATTATTCGAGAGAGATACATTGTTGTTGAAGAAGTGCGAGAGAGAGAGAGAGTGAGAGAAGGGGAGGCGAGAGGTTAGCTACTACAACATCATTGAACACTAAATAATATCAATGGGGCAGCATAATTGTGTGAGAAAATATCATGCATATTGGAAAGTTAGAGAGCTGGGCGTGTCCGTTATTCCGGCCTTTCGAATTCATAATTCTAGAGGTCAAAAGGTGTTTTCTTTTTAGCGAGCACAACGAAATTTGCACAACCCTTTATGCGGTTCATTCACAGAAAACCCCAAAACATAAATTGTTCAGTTTATGGGACGCAGCGTAACAGACATAAAGACATACATACAGATGTGTGTATGCTCCCCCTGGCTAACTATGCAAATCCCCTACATCAAAATAGAAAAGGCCACAATGGCGTGGCTAAAAATAAACCACACTCTTCTTTGCTATCACAATAACTCTTGCAATTCAAAGAAAAGCCCACAATGAGAAATGCTACAGCCCAAAATGATGTTGGGCCCGAACAAAAGACTTTGGCAACGCACAAACATAAAAATAATTGACAAATATATTAAGAGCATAAATCAGAATGGCTAATAGAGCGCGAAGAGCGTGTAGCCGACTCTTAGCTCAAAAGCGCCCCGAAACACAGCAACAACAGCAACAACAACGACAACAACAACGACAACGAGAAGATCAACAATAAAGATCGAAATGTTTTCATTGATTTTTCGCTGTCTGCGCCGGCGTCGCTGTCGCTAGCGGCGTCAGCGTCAGCGTCGACCAGAAATAAAACCTAGGCAGCTTTTATTATCATTTACCGCTTGTCCGCAGTACAAAACCGAACCGAACCGAAAAAAACAAAAATAACAAAAACAAAACAGAAATATCCCAAAACTCAGAAGAGGAGAAAAAAAAAAAACTTTTACGAGTAGGTCTCGCTCTTCCAGCGCTGCCGTCATGCTCTCAGCAACGACTTAGACTGCGAAGCCAGCAGCGAGCGCTGCTGCGGGCCAGCAACTTCTTGGACTTGCTGGCCCGGGTCCGAGCCCGGCCAGATTTAGTTCAGTTTCAAGTGTTTGTGCGTTGCGTGCGCCACGAAGCGGAGAGCGGAGATTTTCTAGAGTTTCGTTGTCGTTGTCGCTGTCGCCGTCGTTACCGTTGTCGGTTGTCGCTGTCGGTTGTCGGTTGTCGGTTGTTTTCGGCATCGTCGAATCCGACTTCCGTAAAGTTCATTTGCCGTCGGCCGCCGACCGGCCACCAAAACTGCGATCACGATCTCTGTCGTGGGCGTCGCGATTCCTGTCGCCGAGTTAGCGCGCAAAACTCAACGTAATCCAACGCAACGGAAACCGAAAGCCGAAACACGAGCGGAAGTCGGGTGTGCGATAGCCACCGACGCTTATTTGCAGTTAATATTTAATTAACGAGCCTCGACGAGCCAAGCCACAAATTTGTTTTCCAGAATTTTTAATGAGGAATGAAAAGTGCAAAAGTTTCTGAATAGCTGCAAGAATTATGTATTGTATGATAAGTTGATAATACCCAGCTAGTAGCATCATGATATGTGTGTGAGTGTGCCCAACAATCGAGAGCCATAAATAATGCCCATAATGGGCTGAGTTGAAGCCATGTGAGAAACTCAAGCTCAAGCCCAAGTGTGAAGCCAGCCAAACAACAGAATTGTCTGCCTTATCAATTTCCACATCTATATTTATATATACTCAAAAAATTAAACATAATATACAGCTGCTATCACCTCTTTATGGATTTATTAAGCTATTCAAATTGGATACAAAATTTCCTACAACTTTAAACTGGTGAGTGCAAGTTTCTGCCAAGTTCGTTGCCCAAGTCTTTTGTTCAGCAAGAGAAAAAAACCACATTAAAATAGAAAAAATAAAAATGCGGCTATGAATTTTCTATGGATCCAAATAATATATATAAAAATATTTCGTGGATAAAATAAAAAGCTTGAACGCCACCAACTTATTGTGCGAATAAATTTAGATTTTATCTCCGGCGATTTGTATTGGCAAATAACAGCCATCGGATCGGACTGCGAATTTGCAGATATCTGTTTACCTAGTTTCATTAGTTATAAATGCTCCTCTTCTTTTGTTCCAGCTATTCGTTTGCTCACTCAAAACGTATGTTCCTATTGTCAGCCAATGGCAGATAAATAACCAAAAATTGATAACTCGTGCTAAGAGCGTAAATCCCAGAAATGAAAACATTTTAAGCTATTCTCTCTCTCTCACTTTGTTCTCTGATCTTTGGCATATATATATATATATATATCTATCTACTCGGCATGATCACGCGCCTAGCTCGCAATAATTATACAATAATTTAGCGTATAATTAGCTAATTAGAACTGCGCAGCCAAAAGCTGAAAAGCCAAAGTTTTAATATCTTCCGGCTACACCTTTTGTGCAAAAATGCCTGCGAAAATAGAAAACAGCAAGCATGACTAAACCCTTGACAAGCCGCAAAAAGCAATTAATCAAATTTGCTCGCCTGTGCTTGGGTCTTAGTAAATAAGTATTAATGGCTTCATAATTGAAAATTTGCGAATTGCTAAAAATATCGATATCCATAGACGAACACATATGTCTAATTGGACTAGTCCAAGTTTCTATTTCAACTGTATGCTGACCTTAGACATATAAAATGTTAGCTGAAATTAGTTTTAGTTATACTTTTTGGTTTTCATTGAAATTGAAATTGTATTTATTTATTCACATTGAATTGTGAAATACATTTTTGGTTGCTTAGAGCTCAGACTTTATTGTCTTTTCCGCTATGATTAATTATTTTTATGACATGCACTCGAGTTTCGAAGAGGTATAATTTTATACACATAAAGAAGAAAAAAATACTTTTAATAGTTTTGTATATAAAATATTTTCTCCACCAAAAACTCTTTATATTATATATATTATATGGCATGCTGTTATTAAACCTGTAAATGGCAAATAAATCGGCGGTAGTCGCATTAAATATATCCAATAAATTAAGCCACAATGAATACTAAACAGATTCAAATTAAATCGTTAATGCATAATGAACTAAACAACTTTATACCCAATGCAGAATATATGCACATAAAGTATTTGAATTTCGGACGAAGAAGCCAAAATTTAGAAAGCATTGCCATTAACAGATTTATTTTATATAAAAAAAAATATGTAAAAATTATATTATTGACAATATGCTAACTGTAAACACAGTTTTTCATGTTATATAAAAACATTTGAATTTCTTATACCTCTGATTTGTTAATCGCTTTGCGGACAACTTTCATGAGTCCAATTCTTAGCTTGACATGACGATTAGCAGTTAATCTATTCACAAAGTAGGACGATTCTCGAATGAAAACAAATAAGAGTCACACTTAAGACTGCAAATAGAAGCTGTTGATTCGCCGGGGCATCTGGAGTCAAACTGATTAATTTGGTTATTTACAATAATATTTAATATTGATAATTAATAACTGACGGCTGCCCCGTGCTTTTCCATTCAACAGCTGAAAATTAATATGTGCTAAAGCTGCCCGCGGCGTCATATGCAAATTTCCATGTTTGTTCGGTTTCGTTTATAATTTTCTATGAAAAATGTTGCTGGGTTATTTGATGTTGATGTTGGTGTTGGTGTTGGTGTTACCATGTTGTTGATTTCTCACATAAATTTGCCACAGGCGCAAAATTTCACTCAAATGAAACCGGAAGCGCGACCGTCAAGTGGAATGGACTTAAATAGTTGCTTGGCCGTCCGACGCTTGCCTGAATGTTTCAGTTTATCTGTAGCAACAACAGCAGCAACAGCAGCAGCAACAATGGCAAAAGAAATTTTAATATTTATATACAATGCACGCAGCTCAATTTGCACTAAGATTTTCTCACTTTCGCATGTTTCTAGACACACACGCACATATGTATATGTGTGTGACCTGTGTGCCGTATTTTTTTCCACGCTCCTCATGTCAAACACTTAGTCAAAACAGCATTTGTTACGCTGCCAGTACCAGCCACCAACGCACTGGACAGCAACAGCAACAGCAGCAACAACAACTACTACATGACAGCAATAACCATAATAATAATAACAACAGCAGCAACAACAGCAACAACAACAACAACAAGCGAAATAATAACGAGCGTTATCCAAGCATCATCATTATCAACTTTTAACCATCGGTTAAAGTTGTGTGCCACCGAAATGATTTAATTTTGACAGACCTTTTTTTTTCAAGTCTCTTTCTCGACTTTTATGTGTGGGAGTTTTTGGCTTTTAATTTAAATTTTTCTGTAGTCTTTTTTTTCTGGAGTTTTTTTTTTAATTTCGTTTTTTATTTGTCTATTTTGGTCATAATTTTTGTCGTCTTGTTGGCACGCATTGTTGCTGCTCCATTGCTGCCTTTGTTGTTGCTGCTACAATTTTATTTGATATGCATTACCAGCTTTCGTCTTTTTGTTGTTTTATTTCTTCTACAACTTCTCCTTTTTGGCATTAAGTGCTTGTAAATTGGGTCAGTGGGAAGTTACACTTCAGTCGTCGTCGTCGTAGCTCTTGCTGTTGCTATTAGAGTAGCTGTTGCTGTTGTTGTTGTTGTTGCTTGTACAGAGCAACGTCATGTGTCATAAATCATTTGTTGCTCTCAGCGCTGTTGGTCCCAGTCTCAGAACTTTTGCCACAGCTGCTTTTGGTTTCATTGTTTTATTTATTTATATACCTCGAGAAGCTCTGCTTGATGCACTTGAATACATTATCTACGCTGCTGGCTGCTTTTCTTATCGATGATCTGTAGAGATTATTTTGAATTCATAGATTCAAAATGAATCTATATATATTGATATGATTGCCTTGTTCCAGCTGGATAATGCAGTAATTAATTAGCATTAAAAACATTTTACTGTCAAGTTCGTTGCCTAAGTCTTTTGTTTGACAATGAGTGAAGCATTTGAGCTTTTTATACTTATAAAGCGATCTCACTTTTTGGCAACGCAGAGGAAAGCAACCTGTTTATAGGAAACTGCCTGATGCTATTGGAAATCCGCCAAGTCTTGGCGTACTGACAACAACCACAGCCAGAGCCGCAGCCACAGCTACATCCACATTCACCGTTCGTCCGTTGCAGCCAGTCAGGAAGCAATGTGCAATGTGAAGTGACTTTGGCTGTCTGCTGTCTAGACATTCTTCGATTTTTCCTGCCAGCTGCAGCAACATCAACACCAACACCAACACCAACACCAACACCAACGCCAACTACAGCAACAACAATATGAACAGCAGCAAGCGCGATGAGTAGAACAAGTGCAACGGAGGCAGCTCTAGAGTGAAGAATATGTACATACTTACGAGTACATCCATGAAAGCAATGCATTTCAGTGCTTCGCTTGATTTTTATTGACACAAGTCGTTAGCGGACTGCTGACTGCACGGCCTGGCACACATTTTGCATATTTTACGAGCTCGTGTCGTTGTCGTTGTCGTTGTCGTTGCTGTTCGTGGTGGTGCTGGGTACTGGTACTGGTGCTGGTGCTGGTGTTGCTGGTGGTGCATTTTGGATGTGCCTGAGCCGTTAAGCCATTGCCGAAAGACTAAACGAAGTAAGCCTAAGCCGTGTCTGGGCTTGTGCAATGGGGGCTCTCTGAAAATCTTTGCATAATTACTGTGGAACATTTTGATTTGAATTCTATGTACTGCTGGCAGCTACTGAGGCATGAAGATTGTTTTATGTGCGCGTTAAGTTGGCAGCGCTCGTCAATGCCCGACCCTGGGGACAGTTGACCCACTTGCACTCAGCGACTCTACGCTGTGTGCTTTATATAGCAGAGAGCCATGCTCACATAAATCAAGAACAGACATTAATGTACAAGATGTATGTAGGTGTGCATGTATGTGTGTATTTATATATAGATTTGTATATATACAATATATGTATATGTATATAAATCATGCAAACCCCCTGCCAAATGAGTTTTCACATAGGTACACGGCGATTTCGCTTGTTAACATTAATAATAACTTGTAATTTGCAGTTGTTTCAAAGCGCCCGTTGTTGAAAATCACTGAGAGGGCGCCACAGCCAAAGTACCCAAAGCAGCAGCAGCGGAGAGAAGCAAAGGGGAAAAAAAAACTAAAAACTAAAAACTAATTACAACATTTTTCACATATGTAAACATTCATTCATAATATTAAACCACACTGGCCAGCATAATGTGAAACTAAGCAACCAAAAAGTTCGAAAACTCACTTTGAAGATCTTCCGCGTGGCTCTGGCATGGCTGGCATGGCTGGCATGGCTGGCACTGCTTACCAGTTGATTTCTCAGTGTGTTGTTAATTTTTCGTTCATTAAGTCCGAAAATGGCCAAGTTTAATGTTTGACCGAGGCACAAAATTAATTAAACATTTATCAAAATCAAAGCCGCATCGCTAAACGAACCAGCCAGCCAGCCAGCCAGAGTGAAGCGAGCAGCGAGCAGCGAACAGCTCCCCTAACAATTTCAAAGATGCCCGCGACCTGTTGACATTTCAGCATTTTAAATATACTTAGTATTTATATGCATTATGATTGTCATTGTTTGGAGATGCGCTTCATTGTCTTCGCTTTTATTGCCTTATTAACTTGGCTAGTCCAAGTGCACATTGAAATTGAAACTGAAATTGAAATCGAGACGAGCAGCGTCGAGTCCCAATCAGCCAAAAGCGATTCACATACCGCATATCTCGGTCATCCGAGACTCCAACGCGGCTGGCAATGGAAGTGGACATCGACATCAGTTTGGCTGTCGCTTTTAAATGAAAAATGCCCAAAACAAAAACTCAAATAAAAAAGAAACACTCTGTGTCGTTCTTCTTTATGTTTAGTGGCATTTTTTTGGCTTTTTTTCCGTGTGTTTCTTTTTTCGGGGCCCTCGTTTTTGCCTGACGGCCTGGCTTACGGCCCGCAAGACGGAGCTGAAGTCGGAGCTGGACTTGGACATTGGCGGGCATATCGCTGACTTGGCCCAGCACTTGAACTGTACTTGAGTGTTGTAAATATTTTTTAAAGCTGCCTTATTGTGTCTCTCTGTGTGCGCCACAGTTGAAACGAATACCGAATGCCCTGAACGTACGCCAAGCTCCACTGAGTGATAAGCAAGGCTTATTAATAGATGACAGCCGCTTTGAAGATACCCCAACTGATGCTCAAGTGCATCTCAGGGTGGTCCATCTGTTCGATAACGAATCTTGATAGAAATACTATGAAATACGATTGAGGCCTATTGTCTCAAATCTTGTGTTTCACTTACATTGTGTTGCATGTAGTGTCAGCAATGGAAAATTTCTTTTTTGGGCTAAGAGCATGTTCCGCAAAAATGTTGTTTCTTTCCTTCGGCTTCAGCTTCTTCATTTTGTTTTGCGTTTTGCAGTTGTGGCTGCTCTCTGTGCTGTAACTCTTATTTTTTTGGGTGCCTTTTTGGCTTTTGTAGTTGTAGTTGTTGTTGTTGTATTTTGGCAATTTGGGTTACATTGGCTGCTGTCTGAAAAATTATCTGGCACTTATATTCACGCTTAATTGGCATTTTTTATGAAACCCGAGCGTGCCGAAAACAAAATCAACAACATTGAGACCCATTCGTGCTTCTGGGCTCCCTGTTTGTAAGTTTCACTGCAGACTCCACCGCCGCTCCCGGAGCGCTCTGCAATGACACTCGCACTCAAAATCAAAAGAAAAATCAATTTAATGAGCAAAACATGCAATAAATTACACCGGCACAAGGCGAAAACAATTCTGCAGTAAATTTCTTTTATTTCCTTTACATTATTTTTTTATTTATTATTCGTATTATTATTATTATCTTTTGTTTTGTTTTGGAATATTTCCCGACAATTTGTTTCAAGAAACTGGGTCAGCGCGTCGTAGGCTTTTTTCTGACGTTGGTAGGAAATGCGTGTGGGCAAATGAATTGAATTTTATTGCTTGAAATATTTGAACATCGCCAATGACGTCAAGAAAGATTTAATTTTCAGTTTCTGTTTTTTTTTTTTTTTTTTGCAAATTGACAAACCGGTTTCATTTTATTTGTGTTTTGACCTTAGATTTTTACTTTTTGTTATATATATGTATATATATATATATAGGTATATATACTTTTTTTACCCTTTGCTTAGCTGTTCTTAATCTTTTTAATTATATACTTACTTTTGTTGTATTTGCTTTGCCCAAGATGATGTGTTTTATTGTTGTCTAAATGTTTCTTCTCTTTCTGTATTTCGTTTCAGCTGGCATCCGAAGCAATATGTCAAAGCTGCCTCAGCAACAACACAGAACCGAACAGCTATAAAATGTAAGTCAAACTCTTTTAGCATTGGCTCTTAGTCCAATTCATTTCACATCAATTAAAGGCAGAGCAGATGCAAATCTGATTCGGATTCGGATTCCGGCTACACAGTTTATGCTATCAAAATGATGGATGAGACTGGTCGCCAAACTGGTTGACCTGCGTGGGGGTGTTTTTGTTTTCTTCGCTCTGATAGCCGAGCGAGCAATATTTTGAATGGATTTTAAATGCAAATCGAATTTAAACGTGCTTCAAACTCGTATATTTTAATTAGTCTAATGCGTGTGGCTATTTTTTTTTTCCTCCGAACCTTCTATTTTTGTTTGTTAACATATTGATTTTGTTTTCATTTTATATTTGATTTCTATTTTGATGATGTGGTGCACCACTGTGCCAAAAATAAATCAATAAAAAAATCGATAATAAAACAAGTTTCCTTGCGCATCTCACACAAGCCACAGCCGACTGATATTAATAGATGGGTTCAGAGTCGGAATCATCTCCAAATTATATTCGTAGTAGGCTTACGCGCATTAGAGTGCACCATTGACAAATTGGTGGACCAAAGACCTTTGCCATGATTGGGCTTAAGTCGCGCATACATGATAAATGGCTTTTGAATGTGACTTGGATTATGCTATGCGGACATCGCCAGAGACTCAACACTTTGACGTGTGTGCGTTTCTTCCGTCATGAAATACTCAATGGATGAAACAACAACAACAACAAGAGCAGAAACAGCCGCAACAACAACAAGAGTAGCAATCAATGAATGAATAACACACGAGCTTATCTATATATGTGTGTATTTATAAGCACATGCGTATGTGTGTGTGTGTGTGTTGGTTATACAACACTCGTTTGGCTGCGAGCTCAGCTTAACACCGTGCATAAAAAACAAGAAGCTTATAGCACCTGATAAGCCGAGCCGGGGCTCGTCTCGGTGCGTTCGCTCGCTAGGCTCAATAAATTCTCGGGTTGGGTACATAAAAATTTGTCACATAAATTACAATTTGCATGCCTGTTGGCTGTCCAGCAGCAAGCACACTTGTCACACGCACACAACCACACAGAGAGAGAGGGAGAGAGAGAGAGAGACGAATATTTCGCAATGAATTTGGTAGAACCAGCGACCGAGACGACCCTAATTGCCTTTGAGTGTTGTCCCCGGCCAACAGCTGTCAAACATTAATTGTGCGTACAACGGCCAGCAACAGCTCAATTTGCATGCACAGCTGAGAGAGGATGCTGCATGCTGCATACTGCATGCTGCATGCTGAATGTCCGAGACAGACCGTTAGAGAGGCGTCGCGCATTCTGGGCAATTAGCCTGGCAGCCAATTCAATTGGCAGCCTTACAAATTCACGAAATGGAGCGCGCGCATAAATGTCAGCTCCGATTTGCTGTTGGGCAATTAAAAAAGTGCATAGAGAAGCGACCGGCGAGGACACTGACAGATTGACAGAGCAGCCGCAGCCGCAGCAGCAGCAGCTTTATTTACAGCTTAATCTGCTTTATAGCCTCGACTGCAAGATGAATGACGCTGCAGTGGCCTGCGGCGATAGCTGAGCAGCGATAAAAACCGTGGTAGAAAGTATTGCGAGCGACTTTCTTTTTGCCTCATGTCAACAGCCTCCGAAAAAAATAAGAGCCAAGCGAAGATAAATGAAATTCCTTAAGAGGCTTATAAATCAATGGAAGAGCTTCGCATGCCAGGTTCCAGGAATCGACTGTCCTTAAAAACAATCAAATCAGTATAAAATCCAGATGTCTAGAATTTAAATATTTTATTTACTTTATTTTATTGAACGCATTTTGCGTTCTGCGCCCTCTCTAACGAGCAAAACAAGATTTCACTCACATTAGCTGGGGTTTCTGTCTTTGTTCGACATTTATGTAAATTAGCATATCGATTTCCATTTGGCACGAGCTGCGCGTTTCATAATTAAAGTGCATTCGGAGCGGGAAAAGTTTGCGGTCCGTTCAGGTTACCGCAAAGATTATGCAAGACGAAACATGGCTAAAGATGCAAGAGCCAAAACTCAAAACAACAACAACCGAAAACACAAAAGAGAAACAATAACAAAAAACTCATATTTCTACCTAATGTCGGCATTATTGTTGCTATCGATTGGATGGTTATTGTTGTTGTTGTTGTTGTTGTGTTATTTGAATATTAGTCAAGCTGGTCAGCGATTGGTCGTCCAACCGCGAGTTGGCTCATTAGCATGTTTGGCACACGCCCCAACGAGCTTTTCGGGCTAGCTACGGCTCTGATAATGGCTAACCGAGCGTGTGGCTAGATTGAGCTATCTGGCCGAGATTGTGGGCCAGGCCAATGCTTGGGTCGCTTTGGCAATAAATCAAAAATTATTATCCACACATTTGACTGTCTAAGGCTACGTATGCTGTGCAGCCATTTATGGACCTGCACTGGGTTCCTGGTTGAATCCGTTAGCCAGCGCAACGGCCTTTAAAAGAATGCCTAGAGACGGCCAACAGTAACAACAGTGGCGCTGCATTATCTGGCGAACGCAATCTACAGACTCTTGGGCCAGACTCCCGACATCAGCTCCACATTTGAATATGACGCACGAGTGCGCCGCATGTCCAACTAGGGTGTGTGCCCGTGTCCGTGCCCATGTCCATGTCCGCGTCCGTGTCCGTGTCCAAGACTCCAAACTGCAACTCCAAACTGCAACTGCAACTGCAACTGCAACTGCTGCCAGACGGCCAGACTGCCGCCGGCCGCATTCGGTTTTGGCATGATTTTCGATGTGCGATAAGAAATTTATAGTTTCGGTTTAAAAGACATTAGAGTGTAATATATTTCGAGTTTGGAGTCGGGGCTCCGAGGAGGCCTCGTTTACGGCCGCCTTGTTGCCAGGCCAGCCGCCTGTGGGTGTGTAGCCGCTCAGCTGCTCAAGTACTAAATATACATAAATAGATATGCAAATATTTGCATGCCCTGCGCATGTAATACGAAAGACTTAGGCAACGAACTTGCTCGACAACTCATCGGCATGTCATAAAGGCATGTCAGCACAGCACAGCACAGCACAGCACTGACTATTGTAGTTAGATATATATATATATTAATAGACATGTATGATAAGCAAATTCAAGTATTATATAATTAGAAAAAATGTAGATTAACGCAGAGATTGTTGGAGCTTGGCTTAAGTAGAGTAAAGGAAACTTTATATATAAAATAAATGCAAACAATTTTGATTTCAATTTAAGCTTCACTAGTTTTATTTGTATGTTTAAATTTTCCTCCAATGCATGCAGCTTTTCCATAGCTCCACTTGGCTGATTATGAAAGAAAGCATTTGCTATGCTTGATCAGTTGGATTTGAATATACTCTTAAGTAGCTCTTGGCGTAACATCTCTTGCAAATTGATTTCTATGCAAATTTCTAGTTTCCATTTCGGTTCTCCTGAGTTTCACTTTCAGTTTGGCTTCTTTTTGCTTCATTTTTTTTTTTTTTTTTTTTTTTTTTTTTTTTGTTTTTTAGCAGTTTTTTGGACTTTTGTCGCATTTTTAGCGGAGGTGCTTTGTCTGCCGCTGTCCCATATGCATCTGTTTTCTTGTTGTATTGTTTTAGTTTTTGTTGTGTGCTTGGCTTGCCTTTGTCTTCTGCTGAAATTGTGTTTTATATGGTAAAATGCAATTTGTGCAACTGGCAAACGCGACAAACAGCAACAACAGCAACAACAACAACAACAAATAGCATCCTTTGCTATATATTGAAAGTGAAGTCTCTTAGCATATTTGTAGCTGTCGCTGATGTTGTTGTTGTTGCTGTTGTTGTTGTTGTTGTTGTTATACTCTGTAAAAATTTGCATTTTTGTGCACAGCTGCTTTTTTTGTGCTTTTCTTCACTTGCTGTTGCAATTGTTGTTGTTGCTGTTGCTGTTGTTGTCTTCTATTGCATTAATTTTGGCTTCTTGTCGTCGTCGTCAGTGTAGCTTATATGGCCGCTTGGCTCTGGTTGCCTGCTGTCTCTTTGTTGCTGGGCTCTGGGCTTTTACTGTAGGCTCATGCACAGCAGTTGTCGTTGGCAGGCACTGTTGCCACATTCTGCCATTCAGGCGCTTTGTAATTAATGGTTAATTAATTGAAACGAAGTAGCTGACAATCTTAATGATCCGTAATTTGTTATTATGGTAATTTATACAAGCAGCAGCTAAGCCAGCCAGCCAGCCAGCCAGTCAGCCAATGCCCACAACACCAACACAATAAAGACTCGGTTGCTGTGCTGCTGCTGCTGCTCTGCTGTTGTCTTGTAAGACATACACGAGTACAAATAAAAATTCATTAGCTACTGATCCATGGCTGAGTTTGACGACAGCCGACAATTGTCTAATTGCAGTCACGAGCAATTTATGTAGTTTGCTTTAGCATGAGTTATATGAGTGCTCATATAGTCAGCAGAACTAAATGGGCGAGCAACAGTGTGCATAAGGCATGTGGACGCCCACAGCTGGCCCTAACAGCCGGGCCGTGGCAATAAATTGTGCTCAAACTGCAAGCCGACTGTCGGCCGGCTGGTCTCAATCTGTGCGCCTTCCTGGAAGATGCGCACGACTGCCAAACAACAGCAGCAGCCGCTGCAGCAGCAGCAGCAGCCGCGACAACAACAAAGCAAACAGCCTGTCGAAAAAATAACGAAAAAAGAAACAGCAAAAATTTGCATCTTGACGAATTTAATGATGATGATGAAAAAGACGCCACAAACATTTTGATCGACCCACAAGACGAGCCAGCCTCAAGGAGCAGACAGACTGCACACGATTGCTGGGCATGTGGGAGTGTTGCGGCTGCCACAGTTGCCGTTGCTGCTGCTGCTGGTGCTAGTGATGCTGCAGCATCAAATTTATGAAGATGCCTTTTGGGTGGCATTGCGGAATGTTTGACGTTGCTGTCTCATGTCAAGTGTTGTGTGTGCACCGTTTGATGGGCAAGTGAAAATATTTTCATTGCACTTTGACATGACAGCAA